AATGGTGATTATGGTGGTTATAGTGTTGTAGTATTGATGATGATAGTGGTTATAGTGTTGTAGTTATGATCTTATAGTGGTTTACTTATGTTACTGTTGTAGTCACAGGATGTACTTGCCATTACCAGGTGTTGTTGGGTTGGGTTTGTGCCAGTGTTGTAGTTTTGTTGTTATTCCTTATTTATGTTCTTGTAGAGTTGTTTGTGGTTGTAGTGTTGTTGTTTGTAGTTGTAGTGTTGTTGTTTGTTGTTGTAGTGTTGATGTTTGTTGTAGTGTTGTTGTTTGTAGTCGTAATGTTGTTGTTTGTAGTTGTAGTGTTGATGTTTGTAGGTGTAGTGTTGATGTTTGTTGTAGTGTTGATGTTTGTTGTAGTGTTGTTGTTTGTAGTTGTAGTGTTGTTGTTTGTAGTTGTAGTGTTGTTGTTTGTAGTTGTAGTGTTGTTGTTTGTAGTTGTAGTGTTGTGTTTGTTGTAGTGTTGTTGTTTGTAGTTGTAGTGTTGTTGTTTGTTGTAGTGTTCTTGTTTGTGTAGTTGTAGTGTTGTTTGTAGTTTTAAGTGTCGTTGTTTGTGGTTGTACTGTTGTTGTTTGTAGTTGTAATGTTGTTGTTTGTTAGGCTAGGTTAGGCTATCAGAGATATCACAATAGGGGAAGAACTAGGGAACAGTGACCACAGAGAAATCAGTTCACCCTAAATTGGGAAACGAAAAACAATGACAATATGATCAGAGTCCCAAACTTTTGATCGGCGGATTATGAGGGGTTAAGAAGGTACCTAGGTGAGGTCGCCTGGGAGCAGTCTGGTCAGTCCCCAGTAGGAACGGGTGAGGTCACAGGCGACACAACAATTGATCATGACTAGAATATATTCACTAGTATACTACTTAAGCAAAAGAACAAAATATACCATAAAGAAAAATTTGGTCAAATAAGAATGAGCCAAGGTGGATGACCAAAAAACTTAAACATGACATAGGAATAAAGAAAGAAATTTATAAGAAATTAAAGGGAGGGGAGGAGCAGCTCAGAAATAGGTATAATGAACTATGTAGGAATGCTAAGAAAAATGTAGGGAAGGCAGAGAGGGACTACGAAATCAAGATGGCATGAGAATCCAAGGCGGATCCCAAGGGATTTTTCCAGGTATATAGGACAAAGGTCAAGGACAAAGTGGGACCTTTAAAGTCAGAGAAAGAGGAAGTGATCGATGATAGTGAGAAAATAAGCAAAGCATTAAACAGCTACTTCTTATCAGTTTTCACAGAAGAAATTCACGAGGAAATGCCGGAGGTGGAACTGATATTTAAGGGAAATGAAGAAGATAAACGAAAGAATATCACTATCAGAAAAGAGGATGTTCTTAAGAAGATAAATACATTAAAAAAGACAAAATCCCCAGGGCAGGATGAAATTTTCCCTCGAGTTTTGAAAGAGTGTAACGAACAGATTAGCGGATCCCTCGTAAATTTATTTACAAAATTATTAGACACGGGAGTTGTGCCAGACTTGTGGAACAGGTAAATATAGTACCCATATTAAAAAAGGGAGACAGGGCATCAGCGTCAAATTACCGATCGCATTTAGAGAAAAACAAATTATTCTTCGACTCTCAACATGGGTTTACAAATGGAAAATCTAGTCTAACAAATCTGCTGACGTTTTTAGGAAAGTCTTCGAGGTAGTGGATAATGACGAAAATCACGATGTTATTTACTTAGAATTTAGCAAAGCGTTTGACAGAGTACCGCATCAGAGGCTTCTGAGAAAAGTTTAGGCTCATTGGATAAAATCATGGCTCACCGATAGAACACAGTGGGTCAGCGTAGATGGTGTTAAATCTGAGTGGGGCTGTGTAACCAGTGGGGTTCCCCAGGGGTCAGTACTAGCCCCACTCTTGTTCATAATCTACATAAAAAAATCTAGATACTGGGATCAGCAGTGACATAAGCAAGTTTGCGGATGACACCAAAATAGGGCGGCAGATTAATTCAGGGCAGGATGCAAATGCATTACAGGAGGATCTAAATATACTGCAGGGGTGGTCTGAAAAATGGCAAATATAATTCAACACCAGCAAGTGTAGCGTACTTAATATTGGAAGAACAAATACTGACAATGTATACAGCCTTAACAACATCAACCTAGAGAAGTCGACTTGTGAAAGAGACCTAGGGGTACTAGTAAGCCCGGACCTACGGCCTAGAAAACAGTGCGTTAATGTTCGAAATAAGGCAAACAGAGTATTGGGTTTTATATCTAGAAGTGTAAGTAATAAGAGTGCAGAGGTCTTATTGCAACTATATCTTGCGCTAGTCAGGCCGCACCTCGATTATGCGGTTCAGTTCTTGTTTCCTTATTATAGAATGGATATCAATTCACTAGAGTCGGTGCAGCGAAGAATGACGAAAATGATTCCGGGACTTAGAAACCTTCCATATCAGGATAGGTGAAAGAAACTTAACTTGCATTCCCTAGAAAGGCGAAGATTGGGGGGAAGTATGATAGAAGTATTCAAGTGGGTGAAAGGAATCAATAAAGGAGATATAGATAAAGTTCTTATAATATCCGAGCAGGATAGGACTGGGAGCAACGGATTTAAGTTGGATGAGTTTAGGTTTAGGAGGGAGATAGGAAGGAACTGGTTCACAAATAGGGTGGTGGACGAGTGGAACAAGATTAGCAACTTTGTAGTAAGTGCTGGAACGCTAGAAAGTTTCAAAAGGAGGCTAGATAGATTCATGGATGATAGAGAGTGGTAGTAACTCTCGACAGGAGCTGCCATGCACAGGCCAACCGGCCTATTGCAGACTCTTTATTTTCTTATGTTCTTATTTTCTTAATTTGGTCCCTGTATTATAGCTGTGAGGAATACACCAGGGTGTCACTCTGGTGTCACACCAACAAACGAAAAGAGTTGTTAGGTCGGTTGCAGTTCCACACACTGAGAGGGAGTTTGTCCCGGGGGCTCAGTTCCCAGGGTTGCAAGGCTCGCCCAATTCAATCGTGCCGAATTACCGACATCCTTTAAGACAGCCAGCTGGCATGCAGCTACTGGTCCCCGGTAGCTGCTGGGTATTCAGCTAACACCAATTCTGTGCCTGGAGATGCGTTGAGGAAGAGTCACGAGCGTGTTAAAATGGTCTAACTTCAACTACACATAACATACATCTGGCAATAATACTTACGTTACTTTGTGGGGTGATGTGATATTTGGTTCACACTCATGATGGGATGGAGAAAGGAAACTCACAATGTGCTCTCTGTATACATATTGTATTGGATGTACAGTGCAGCTTGGTGCTGGGAAGTGGCAGCGTGATTACAAGCGTGATGTAGAGAGAGCTGGTTGGTGAGGGTGCTCAGAGGAGGACCAGCTTGTGGGTCGCCATGGTCGCCGGCGGGAGCGAGGGCCGCCAGGCAGGAGTGGGGGAGGAGGTGTTGCTTGAAGACTGGCTGTAGGTAGAAAGAGATAGGTTACGGTACGGAGTCTTTAGTTATGAGGTAAAAGAAGATTATTAGGGGTTGAAGGAAAAGTGGTGAAACTGAAATACAGTAGGAGTAGAAAGAATCTGGGCTCAACCAGATCGCTTCATTTTCCTATTGGTGTTTTATCTTTGTTCTGCTCCCTTGGGTCGTCAGACCTTTGTATTAATATTGGTTTATTTATATAATGCTGCTTATTATTATTATTTTTTATTATTGTTGGAGTTAGTGAGCCCGCCCAGGTCCTTGTGTAGCTGGGAGGGTAGTCACATTTTTCTTCTTTTTTTTCTTTTTTTTTTCTGAGGTGTTATTTAAGTGTTAGTTGTGTTAGTCTAAAGGTACACTGTATGGAGAGGCCTGCCAGGGTCTTAGTGGAGCTGGTAGGTCACTCTCATCTTTATTCTCTCTATTAATGTTTTATGTGTATATTGGGACAGGAGATGGGTCAATTACTTTCTTCCTGGCTGATTTAAACCAACTGTGTTTTTGGAATTCTTCGTTGTCTATATTATTTATCCAGTTTTGATATGTTTCTGTGTTAAGTTCAGTCACTTTTTCCAAATATTTACAGCTTTGTTGTGTATATCTACATTGATTGCTAAGAGGTTTGCTCTCTTGTGTAGCTGTTCATTATTGATGTGGTCTGTATATTTTATGTTATATATAAATCTGAGGGCTATATTTTGTACTGTTTGTAACCTTTTAATGCTCGTTTTACTAAGGGTGTTCAATGGGATGGGTGGGTAGTCCATAATTGATTTGACAAGGGCTATATAAATCTTTCTTTTGTTATTAATACTAAGGTTCTTAAAGCGTTTTATTGTTGATAATCTTATTCTTGCCTGTCGTTCTTTATCTTTTAAGTATGTTATATATCCTCTTTTTGTTAGTTTTAGTCCAAGCATCCTACCTTCAGTGTCGTATGGGTATTAGGGTGTGTCATAGGAGGGAAGATCAGCTAAAACTAATGGCCCATCACTTTTTTGGTAGATTTTAGTGTATATAAACAGAAAATAATTTCAGTTTCAATATTTTGCAACCTTTTGCTAGGTAAATTTTAGCGTGAAATTTATCGAAAATCTAACGTACAGCTGCATTAGTGCATTACAATTAAATAGTGAACATTGCTTTCTGACTTCATTCTTTAACAAACCAACTAACAATATTTTTTCTGTTTCAGATTCTGATGCATTTATAAGTTGATAATATTTGCGATGGCTGCTTGTGTCAGGACGAGGAACCAAAATCCAACCATCTCAGTCACTATCTTGGGTCTGGGAGAGAGCTCCTGAAGTCGGAGTTGCCTACATTGAGAGATGCTTTGAGATACGGTGTTTTAATCAGGCAAATCAGTGAAAATAAAGAACTTACACAAACAAAGACATTGCCAGTGATATGACCAGCTGTCTTGGCACAGTACACTCTGGCTAACGCTCAGTTCAAGCCTCCAGTCATAACAAGTCAGAAGAAGATTAGTGAGACTGCTAGCCAGTTGGGAAAAGGCAAAGAGGAATCTCTCTTGGCAAGAGGAAAACTTGCAGTTAAGGACAGCTTTGCCAAGCAACTGGACCAGTTATTTGACATAATTACTTGCAAGTGCCCAATTGTTCTCTGTCCTGAGTTTGGATGCGATCGTGACTCTAAACCCGAGGCCCACATCTCCTGTATTTGCAAGCGTGAACTGAAGATTCCTGTGATCGAACTGGCATTTATCAAAGCACAGAGAGAGAAGACTGGCAGTATAGGGGCTCTCATGATTTCTAGCCAAGATATTCCGGAGTCCAAGAGACAGGAGGCTGCCACAGAGAGACAGAAGAGGAGAAGAGTTGCCGAGGAAAAGAGACTTGAGAAGGCCCAGGGTGAGGTAAAAAGGCCGATGATTGGAGTCAAGCTGATTCAGAGTTTAATGACTTCCCCATGGCTGATCCGAGTGCTGACCAGGAGAATGGTGACTGTCCCTAACCCAGAAAATAATGATCCCAAACCTTCCAGGCATAAGATTCGAAATAGGAAAGATATCGAGCATAGCTCTGGCCAGCATACCACGACACCACACTGGTCTCAGAGAAACTGCAGGAATAGCAACAGCTGCCTGGATTGACGGTGGTTTGATAACACCTGATGATGTTCACCTGGTGATAGATCATAACAAAGTAAGGAGAGCTCAGGAGAAACTTTGTCAGTAACCTAGAAGAGAGGTTTGATAAGGGGATAAGAGAAAATGGAATCAATTGTTTGTTCTTTGATGGGAGAAGGGATGACACTAAAGTGTTCATGAAAGTTGGAGATTCTGACAAGTTGTTCCCTGCCATGGTGAAGGAGGAACACTACTCCTGCTGTAGTGAACCAGGAGGGAAGTATTTGTGGCATTTCACTCCAGAGAAAGATGACATCAGGAAACCAGCTGAGATAGTGGCAGATAACATTGTGAACTGGCTCAGAGAGAGAGGAACGTAGACCAGACCCTGCAGGCCATTGGAGGGACAGCACCAACACGAACACAGGGTGGCAAGGGGTCATACAGTGGATAGAGAGGCGGAAGATTGGGAGGAAGCTGGTCTGGATTGTTTGTGACCTCCACCAACGAGTTGCCACTCAGACATCTGATCCAGGAGCTGGATGGCAAGACTCTTTCAAACAACCGATGGTCTGGTCCTCTTGGCAAGATGCTGGACTCTGCCACTGAGTTAGAAATAAATCCGAGCTTTGAAAAAATCACAGTTGGCCCTCCACTCGTTGAGCTTGCACATACTGTCATTGACGACCTGAGTACTGACCAGTACTATGGTTACATGATTTGCAGTGCCATCAAAACTGGGGTCATGCCTGATAGACTTGCTTACCTGCAGATAGGTCCAGTCTCACATTCTAGGTGGCTCACAACGGCTCTCAGGTTCTGCAGAATTTGGGTCGCTCATCATAAACTGAAAGGGAACCAGCTTTCACAACCTGAGACTTATTGTCAATTCATCGTTCTCGAAGGTCCGAGGCATGTTCTCTTCCAGCTTGAGCTCCTGAGGAGTCAGCCAAGGAAGGTTGTTCAGATTGTGGAGCAGACTGTGAGGAGATCTTCCTGGTATGCTCATCCCGAGGCAGTTCTGCAGATAATGCTCTGCAGTAAGGATGAGGAGGAGAGAAGAGTGGCAGTCAAAAAGATCTTGGATATGAGACTTATGAGAGGATCTGGGCATGACGAATCAGTTGGTGACGATTCCTTCAGGGTCAGGAAGACTCCTGAAGTCAATCTAGGTGCCAAGACCCTCACTGATCTCATAGATCTGGATAACATCCAGGCTGGCAGTGAGCCCCCTCTTACCTGCAGCCTCACCAATGTTCAAGTCAGAGCTTTCCTGGACAACCCCATGCATGTCCCTGCCTGGCCCTCACACACCCAGAGTATAGAGCGTTGTGTACAGCAAGTGAGCGAGGCCAGCAGTCACGTGTACAGCCAGGAGAGGAGGGAAGGCTACATCCGAGCTCAGGTGGTCAGCAGGGAGGTGATGAGTAGAAACAGAAGCAAGAAAGACATGTTCTCTATGGTGTGCAGCAACACCGGGTCGTAGTAGTAAAACCGGTTTTTGTATTTGATGATTTTGTTTTCTAAAGGAATATTAAATTTAATAAATGTGTCAAGATCATTCGTTTCACTATTCTGGATCATTTTCATCCTAATAAATTAACCTGATACATTTACTTTACTTTAAATAAGCTATTTAGTGGTGTTGGTAAAAGGGTGGGAATACTGAATTTTCATAAGATTTCAAGTTAAAATTTACCTAGCAAAAAATGAAAACTTTTCAAATCTGAAGATATCACATGATTCTGCACATAGAACTACATCATTAATACCATGGGCCGATTTTTCAAACTCAAAAAAAAAAATTCGCCTCCATATGACACACCCTAATAGGTATAGCTCCTGATCGACTATTACTGGACTTGTTTTGATCTTGGCTATTGGTATTATCTTGAATTTGTTCTTATTTGTCCTGATTTTCCATTTTTTCTCAAAATTATTTATATTTTTTATCGCTCTTACCGTGTAGAGTGCCATAAATTGGGTTGATTTTCCTGGGTATGATACTATTTGAGTAATATCATCAGCAAACATTACATATTCGCTAAAGGGGGTAGGTTGAGGTGTGTCTGAGGTATAAATTGTATATAGTGTCGGAGAAAGGCATCCTCCATGAGGTACTCCACTCTCAAGATTAAACATAGTTCCCATAAAGTTTCAATTTGAATTTGTGCTCTCCTATCATCTAAATAGTTACACAATATTCTTAGCAAGTATTCGTTAAGTCCCAGTTTTAATATTTTATATTTTAAGCCTAAATGGCAAACTTTATCAAAAGCCTTAGAAACGTCCCTTAAAATTATATTGATCTGGTTACCCTTGCTTTTTTCTATTGCAATTATTTCCGTTATTGTAGCTATTGCAGTTAGGGTATTTCTATTGGGCATAAATCCATGTTGTCTGTTGTTAGTTTTCCCATGTTGTGTTAAAAAGGTTATAAGTCTTGAATTTAAAATTTTGT